GTTCCGCAACCATCCTATCATTATGACAGACCGGATCAGAGGCAGTATTATGCAGGAAGTCCAAGATATTATCCACAGGAAAGATGGAATTATCATCAGGTTGAAGGGAGGAGTCCCATACAGATGTACAATAGATTTGAACCATTGAGGTATGAAAGGGATTTTTTAGAGAGGGACAGGAGCCCGAGACTAAACGGAGGGAGAAGCCCCACAAGAGGAGGGGGTGCAGAGCAGGGCGGAGGACACAAAAGAAAAAGAGAAAAGTGGGTGAGGGAGTTTTCAATTTGAGTGGGTCCCATATTACTAAGGAAGAAATGTTGGTATTGGACAAGACTCAAGTTTGCCCCACCCAAACCTGTTAATAAGTTTGATGTATTCATAGACACCCAGAAGTTCATTAGGAAACTAAATATTAAGAAACATTTTATGAGTTTACCAGGTGCAACTAATATTATTAATAATGCTTTTAGTAGTGAGATTGTACATTCCAATTTAAAGAACAGATCACTTTTTAACCCACAGATATCTAATAATTGTCATGTGGAGACTTTTAAAAAGATGGTGAACCAAGATTTGGAAAATCTAATTATTCCTAAGAAAAATGATTATAGTGGCCTACAAGTTGGGATTAAGAGATTTACCAAAAGGGAAGACATAGTAGTCCATCCGGCGGACAAAGGAGGCAGCATTGTTGTACTGGCAAAGGATTATTACTTGCAAGAATTGGAAACCCAGTTAGGGGATACTACCACATATAAGATTCTCCCAAGGGATCCAACCATACAGTATAGAAAGGAATTAACTAAATTGGTCAAAAGGGGAAGGGAATTAAAGATATTAAATAAATAAGGGAGTCCAAATTTTTAGTGCCAGAAACATGTAGGATTCCTGTGATATACACGATTCCCAAGATACATAAAGATCAAGTGAACCCTCCAGGTAGGCCTATAGTGAATGGGATTGAATCAGTGTTGGCCAGGTTGGGACACTATATAGACATATTTCTCCAACCGGTGGTTAAGAAGACTAAATCATATTTACGGGACACTAAGCATCTAATCCAGCTGTTGAACAATATTAAGGGGGATCCTAATATCTATCTTGCTAGTGCTGATGTGGCATCCCTTTATATGATCATAGGGCATGAAGATGCCATTGAATCTACCAGCTGGGGTCTTAGGGAATATAGTGAGTTGTCCTGGTCATAAAGAAAGTTTTTAATTGAGTGCCTCGATTTTAGTTTGTCCCACAATTATTTCTGGCATGCAAAAAAGTTTTTTTCAACAGATTAGGGGAGTAGCCATGGGAGAAAGGTATGCTCCTAATGTAGCGAATTTATTTATGGCGAATTGGGAGGAAGATACTATTTATCAACATTATCCTGAACAATTAGTACTATATAAGCGATTTATAGATGATGTGTTTATAGTATGGAAAGGGAGTAGGTAATCCCTACAAGAATTTCTCCAATTATTGAATAATAATAACAGGAATATTGTGTTCTCATGGGAAAGTAGTAATGAATCCATAAACTTTTTAGATTTGAATATTAAAGTTGTGGAAACAGGACTTATTACTAAAACCTATTTTAAAGGGGTGGACCGTAATGGGTACATCCCTCTGGATAGCTGTCATTACCCCCCCCCCCCTGGCTGTTGAACATCCCAAAGGGCCAGTTTGTGCGGTTACGGAGAAACTGTACCTTAGAAGCTGACTATGATGAACAGGTAAAAATAATTGGGGAACGGTTTGAGAAAAAAGGTTACACATCAGAACATATTAAGAAGGAAATGAAAAATATTGGAGAAATGGATAGATCCCTATTGTTGATAGAGTGAAAGATACGACTGTTGATGATCAGATAGCAGATTTTGGATTTTAATGTACAACTACAAAAAGGTTGAAAATTTTTTAAAAGACACTGGCCGGTTCTTAAAGCAGATCCTATTTTAAATAAAATCCTACTGGAATGCCACACATTTATATATAGAAAGGCACCTACGATTAAAACAAGAGTGGTCAGAAATGTTGTAGACCCGCCGGGAAATAATAAAGGAGTAACATTTTTAGACCAAAAAGGTTTCTTTCCCTGTAGGAATTGTTTTGCCTGTAAAGAAACAAAAAGGGAAGAATAAAAGGATGAGATCCTTTGTGGCCAATTCCACGGGAAGAGAGTTCATGATTCAAGATTTTATTTCATGTAGAACGGAGGAAGTGGTATACGGTCTGGAATGTCCATGTGGTCTCCAGTATGTGGGAAGGACCAAGAGACCACTATGGAAGCGGCTATCTGAACACGTGCAGAATATTAAAAAGGGTTTTCCTAAGCACAATGTATATAGACATTTTTCGATTTATCACAACAAAGACCCCTCCGCATTGAAATTTTGGGGCATTGAAAAGTTTAAAGGGCACTGGAGGGGACTCAATAAAGTACGTTCCCTCAGCCAATTAGAGTCCAGGTTGATTTATGAGATGAGGACACAGGTGCCTAGAGGTTTAAACGTAGATTTTGATTTAAATTGCTTTATTTGTGATTTTTAGGTATTAGATTCTGAATTTATGCTTAAGTGATTTATAATAGTATATTTATGATCTATTTATCTGTATTATTAATTTTTTTATGTATAAGTGATCTGATTTATATGTATTATCGTTGTGTATTTTATTAAGTATATTTATGAAGAAGAATTTATATATGTATTTACATTTTATACTAATAAAAATTTTAGAAATTAATTTTAGGTATTTTGTGAACCTATGGTATGGGTGTCTACAAGGGTACAATATATTTTACGTCCGTAGCAGGTGTCCCCTTTTTTTTTTTGTATGTGTGTGTGTGTATATATATAGATAGATAGATAGGATATTTTTTATATACATTTATTAATTATTAAATGTTTATGCTATTATGATGAATAAAATAGTGTAGTTTATATATATATATTTAATTTATTTTATGGGATGATTTGAGGAATAATTTATTATATTGTGAGCCCCGATGTGTGGACACCATTTATTAGATTATGGGCCTTGTTGTGATGTCCCATGCTATTTTTTAGTTATTACACTAGGGGGCGCATGCTCTATATGTATGGGGGAGCTCTCATATGAGTTTGGGATAGGGGGTTAATACATATATAGAGGGTTGGATGAACCCCTTGTTTTATGTATTTATTCATAGGAGTATTTGGGCATCTTTGTTTTTAATGTTGATTATTCCCCCTGTAGTATTTATGTATTTGGCAAATGTCATCGCGTCTATATAGTTTTGTAGTGAGAGACAGACTCCAATATGATGGCTACCGGAGGTTTGGCTCCGGACTGTGATTGGAAGTCAGCGTCTGTCCTTTCTGATGTTAAGGAACTGACTCCAACAAAATGGCCACCGGAGGTCCGCCTCCGGATTAGGATTGGATGTCAGCTTCCTTATAAAAGGAAGTTCCGGCCACTACCCTGAGGAAGTCACGTGATAAACGTGACGCAACGCGTCGGTACACGGGGAGGAACTTCTGGGAACGTGGTGATGTCATTTCCGGCGTGGGGGCCATATTGGATCACCTTTTGCAGATACCCATGCAGTACACCCCTAGCATGTGGTAAATGAGCTGGAAACAAGACTATTGTTATGTGAGTGGGCATTTTTATTTGGATTATTCATTTAATAAACCGGTTACACTATGGAGGGTCTCTGCTTGTATTTTACTATGATCCTGGGAGGAGCTGGCTGCTAGTTGGTTGAAGGCTGGAGACGCTTGCCATCATTGAGGGGATCCCTGGGAGGAGACTGTCCTTGTAGGATCGGTTGATCCCCAAAGCAAGCTGGCCCTAAGTAAGGAGGTGAGGGGGCATTCTGGCTATTGGAGGATTGTCACTTGTGAATCACCTACACAGCACGACTATTGCATGAGAGTGAAGTGGGAGTACCACTATATGTGTTGCTATTTTTGGGACTATTTAACCATTTGTCCACAGTTGGTTTGCCCATTTTTTTGTGTCATTTCACAGTATTGTGTTACAGTTTATATTTCACTATGTGCACTGTGTATTCCCAGTGAGAGGGGATTCACGTATTACACAATTATTTATATAATATACACTTATTTATTTATATGTAGATTTCCCTGATGTGGGTATCAAGGGGATTGATTATTATGTACCAAGTTGGTTTATTTTGATCACCATTTACATATTTATTTATATTTTTGTATTCATCATTTAATTTTGTCAGCGCTGCACTGTTATATTTATTGGTTTATTCACTTATTGGGTATAAGGTTAGTGTCAGCAGCTTCAAGGTTAGGACTCCATTCAAGTGCAGGAGGATCTTCATTTTAAGTGCTCAGATACTGGTCTCAAGAGGCTGGCAGGAAATCACAGGGTGCTGAGGATCAGATGACTGACAAAGATGCAGGGGGAGACACAGTAGAGAAGGAAGACTGGATGTTTGCAGAGTCCATGGGGTCCCAGGAGCAGAATACAGATGGAAAAACATGAAGATAACAGCAGCATGCTAAGGGTCATAGGCACAAGGTATAGTCCGGAGTTCACTGGGATCACAAATCTGGATGCCAGCTAGAATACATCTGGAGCACAAGGCTGAAAGCAGACTTGGATACATTCGAATCACAAGGCTGGAATCGACTGGAATGAAACTTATGACACTGGGGAATGCTGTGGATCTCCTGAGGCATACAATAGCTGGGTACTGGGTGGATGGACAATGTCAAAAAGACACTGGGAGGCACTGGGAAACAACTGAGAAATCATTTGGAGTCTAGCTACTAGCATTTCTGTGTATTGCTTGAACACTGAGCAGCCCCATATTCTATCTCTTTAAGTGCTCCCTCTGTGACTGGGTGTAAAGACACAAGGCTGGAGTGTGGAACAGGTGAATGTGACAATTATCCTCACATATTTTTCATGTTTTAAAACTTTGCTAAAAATTAAAAAGATTTTCATCATATTGGAATTTAAATTGTTGTGTTTTCTTCCATCAGGTGCAGCAACAATGTATGTACGATATAAAATAGTCCAGATACAAAATTCTAGATCTCCATTTCTGTGTAGAAATTTTAACTTCGTGTCTTTGCTAATTGGAATAATTGGCTGCATTGGAATGGGCATTGTGGCTTCTTTCCAGGTAAGTTTCATAGAAATTACATACAGAAACACACTTGTTGCCTACTTTAGGAATATTTACCAGGATGCTTTGTAATATATATATATATATATATCTTACACAGATTAAGTCATCCATATTAACAAAAAATCCTAAGAAAAGACATTTGAAGAAGTAATTGTTACCAGTCAGAAAAACAGTGATTTACAGCATGGTATATTATTATTGATGTTAAGGGATGTAGAGTGATGCTCTACCAAGCCCACTGAGGATAATAATGGGCCGGAAGCAAATATCATGGATTATGTACACACACACACCATTGAGGACACTAGTTATGGTGACCCGGGGGTCCCAAGGAATTCCTTTATTTGCTGAGATTTTCTTACTTCCTGTTTTGGCTATGGGACAGGAAGTGAAGGGAAAACTCCCTAATGGGACACAGATGGCAAAAAAAAAAATCTGACATGGGTTATAACCCCTCCCTTACTCTGTCCAAAATGAATGAGTACCTAGGGGTTTGCTAAGCACACATGGCAGTGAATTAGTTCAGGATCAACAGATGCTGCCAGAGATCTTCCTACTGCCTTACAGCTTTGACCCCACCCCAACCCTGAACCATTATACAAGAGTTCGAGGAAGCATAAATGAACTCTGTCAGCATCCAGACAATGAAAAACAATCTCTTTGGGGTACTTAATAGCAAGACACAAAGAGGGAAGGATGATGCCTTCCTTACAGTGAAAGTTAGAAACCACCTTGGACAGAAGGGTGGGTCTTGATGTAAGAAAACTTTCTCTATTGAAAGGATCAAGAATGACTCCTTACAAGAGACAGACACTCATTTAGAGACACGTCTGAGAGACGTGATACTACTAAGGCTACTTTGCAGGAAAGATTATTAAAAGAGTTTCCTGGTAAGTTCAAAGGCTGGTTTATACAGAGCAGAGAGAACCAAATTAATATTCCGAGGAACCACAGGGTACTGTAAGGGTGGTCTAGTGTGATCTTGGGGAGGGGCAGTGACGTCACCGCGCATTCCTATCTAATATACGGCGAGTACTGAAGGTGTGTGGATACACACCCACCGCTATGTTTTAGCTGCAAGCTACGGATTTTTGACAGATCTAAAAGCGCTATTGTATTACATGACATGTGAGTGCAATATGGAAGCACATTAAAAGCTGTTTTTACCCCTGGGATAAGACACCATATTCTTTATTTCTCTTTTGCATGAGACACACGAGGAGCATAAAGGCAGAGGATTGAGGAGTGGATCAGAGGAGGGAGTATCCCTCACAGCCCTGCAATCACACAGGTTTCCAACATTATTGCAAAGACCTGATCTACATACTGAAGGATAGCATACCTGTCTTTGCTGGACACATTTGGGACAGTACTGCTGTTTCTTTTTCAGCATTTTTTTTTCATTTTTTATTTTTCTTGTTCAAACAATTTTTATTAACAATAAACCAGAATGACACAAACAAGGAGACATTGTTAATATATACTAGGCATTAATGTGACAGTAGGACATAATAAAATGAATGAGGGTCAAGGCATCAACGCCTATACATTTCTAACGGAAACAGGTAAATAAAAATCAATGACAGATCACAAGATGGTATCAGCCAATCATGGTAAGTCTCTTAAGTGCATTAAAGAAATAGGGGGAAGTCTGGAGGGGGTCAGACAGGGGCGGAGGGGGGGGGGGGAAAGGGGAAGAAGAAACAACAACCATGACTCCATGAACATTCATCAAGTGCACAACAACCTCTACGTGCTACGTACGAGGGGTTATGGACCATATCCTTGGCGTACAGTACAGAACTCAAGGGAGAAGCAGTGATTCGTCAAAGTTAGACGGAAGGAAATGCTCTACCCAAGGGCTCCATATGCGCAGGAATTTAGGGATTGTGTCAAGAACTGTGGCTTCCACCTTTGCGTGTATCATGGCTTGTGTTATTCTGGTTTTGACGGCCGCGACACTAAGGGTAGGGGATTTCCAAGACTTTGCTATAACCTGTTTAGCCGCTGTCGTGACTTGCATAAGGAGCTTAAATTGCGAGTTGGAGATGCCAGAAGGGCATTGGTTGAGTAGGGCTGTTGTTGGGTCTGGCCGTATAGTGATAGTGCTAAATGTAGATATCATGGTAAAAATTTCATCCCAAAAGGTTCGGGCTACAGGACAGTCCCACCATATATGGTAATGTGTTCCCAGATCCGCACAGCCTCTGAAACAGTTGGGCGAGTAATTAGGGGTAAATTTTGCGATTCTTGCTGGGACCAAGTACCAGCGGGTTAAAACTTTATAATTCGTTTCCAATGCTACAACGTTCTGCGAAGACGATTTTGTGTTGGCCCAAATGTGGTCCCAATCAGACGGGTCGAATTTCTTACCTAGATCCACTTCCCATTTATGGGTATATAGAGGGGGGGACATGGTGGTCGAAGCGGCGAAGAGTGAGTATAAGCAGGAGATAAGCCCACGTCTATGAGGGTTTTTGCAACAGGCTCGTTCAAAGAGAGACATGGTGTCTGGCCGATTGGTTATTGTAGCGTATGGGGCGTAAAAGTGTTGTAGTTGCAAGTATCTAAATATCTCAGAGGCCGGGAGGCTATGCGTTTCCCGCAGCGAGGCAAAGGATTTAAACTTATTCCTCTGTAGGAAGTGATGGGTACGGAGCAAATTAGCAGAGGACCAGGCTTTGAATAAACGGGGTGTCTGCCACGCCGGGGGAAAAGCTGGGTTTCGTAGAAACTAGAACATAGGATTATGTAGTGATTGGAGGAGGTAACGGGTTTTCAGTTTATCCCATAAGGATAAAAAATGAGAAGTGATGGGGTTGGTTATAGAGCGGCGGTCTATCTGCCTCAACCAGAGTAGGTTAGCGGTGGATAGGGGATCACATTCTATTGATTCAAGCGCAACCCATTGAGGGATTTCAAAGGTTGCATGATACTTAGGTAATTGGGCTAAATGCGCTGCTTGATAATATTTGCTGATGTTGGGTAGGCCTAGACCTCCAGCGAGCTTAGGGCGGTATATATACGAGGGGCGAGTATTGCCCCATACATAGGAAAAGATGCGACGCTGCAGTGTGCGGAGGTAATGAGGGGGGACTGGGACTGGGAGGACTCTAAACAGATATAGAATTTTTGGGAGGATTGACATCTTGATAACTGCTATTCTGCCTAGCCATGCGAGGGGGAGGGAAGACCATTTGGACAGAAGGGCAGAGAGATGGTTTAGCATCAGAAGATAAGTAGCTGCGTAAAGGTCTGATAACTTAGGGGTCAGTTTGATTCCTAAGAAAGGGATATGACACTGTGACCAAGGGAATGGTAAAATCTGTTTCAGATGTGTAAACTCTTTAGGGGGGAGAGAAATGTTGAGTGCTGTAGATTTATTCGGGTTTATTATTAGACCAGAAAGCGCGCCAAACGCCTCGAGAAGCCGGAGTAGGGAGGGAGAAGAAGTCAACGGAGACGTGAGAAAGAGCAAGACGTCATCCGCAAAGAGACATAACTTATGGTGTGTGCCCCCTATCTCGAGTCCCCTGACATCCGGGTTAGCTCTAATTAAGAGGGCTAGGGGCTCTATAGCCAGAGCAAAGAGCAAGGGGGACAGAGGGCAGCCCTGTCTCGTGCCTCTGGAAATCGGGAACTGAGCTGACCTGTGCCCCAGATACCTAATTCTGGCCGAAGGCTCTCGATACAGCGAGAAGATCCAGGTTAAGAAATGTGGGCCAAAACCCCACCGATGCAAAATATAATCGAGGTATGGCCATGAGACTGTATCAAATGCTTTCCGGATATCTAGGGACAGGAAATATGCGGGAATATTTCGGGATCTTGCTAAGTTTGCCAAAAGGGATGCACGTCTGATGTTATCTCCCGCTTGTCTAGTTGGGATAAAGCCCACTTGGTCATTATGAATTAAAGAGCCAATATACAGGTTAAGACGTGAAGAAAGGACTTTTGCTAGCAGTTTGATGTCAATGTTAAGGAGAGAGATTGGCCTATAGTTGGACCACTGCGTGTCATCAGAATTCGGCTTTGGGATCATTGAAATGTTCACTTGCACTGTTTCATGATTGAAGGTTTGGCCAGATAGTAAAGCGTTAAAAGCATTAGTGAGGATAGGTGTAAGGAGATGAGCAAATTTTTTATAGTAAGTGGCTGAGAAGCCATCTGGCCCTGGGCGTTTACGTAGCTTTAGACTTTTAATAGCGTCTAAGGTTTCGGCTTGGGAGATGGGTCGTTCAAGTGCCGCTAACTGGCACTCTGAGAGTTTCGGGAAAGAAATGGAAGTTAAAAGGGTATCAGCTTGTGTGGGGTCAAAAGGTGTGGAAGAGGAGTAAAGTTGTGACAAGTGTTTATGGAACGTCCGTAGGATGTGTTCCGGGTTACTAGTGAGGTTGCCAGAGGAGGTGCGTAGCCTAATAGGTTTAGTGAGCTGGTCGAGCCTGAAAGAGTGAAAGAGCCAGGAATGTGTTGGGTTTATTTGCCCTAGTATAGTATTTGTGCCTAGATCTACGGAGTGAGAGTTCCGCTTGGTCTGTGAGAAAGAGATCTAGGGCCAATCTAGATCGCTCCAGGGTTTCACGATTGGCAGGCGTAGGAGCCGCCTGGAAGGCTTGATGAGAACGATCATAGGTTTGCTCAAGTAGAAGACGTTGTTGCCTTTTGGTTTTATTTAAGAAGGATGCTTGCTAATGCAAAACCCTCGCAATACCGGCTTATGCGCTTCCCATAGCAGGAGAGGGGAAATATCAGGTGATTGATTGAGAGAGAGGTAGTCTTTAAGGGCTGCTTCTATTTCTAGACAGTGAGCTGGGTTTACAAGTAGGTTATCATTAATGATCCAAGAGGATTCAGTGGGGGATGGGGCCAACGAGGCCATGGATGTGAACACGGCGCAATGGTCAGACCAGGGGATGGGAATTATTTCAGAGGTCAAAAGCCGAGAGGGAAGAGGTAGTGGTGACAAAAATATGATCTATCCTAGAGAATGACCG